AGAATTTGTTATTTGTAGATATTTTTAATGATGGCCATTCTGACCAGTGTGAGGTGATACCTCATTGTAGTTTTGATTATCTTTCTCTAATAATTAGAGATGTTAGCTCTGTGACTTCTGTTTGGATTTTTCTTGGATTTTTCTTACATTTTCTTTCTCTTTGTTGAAGTTCCTACTGTGTTCCATTCTCCTTAGTTTGGTGAGCATATTATTATGACCATTACTTTGAACCCTTTCTCAGGTGTTACTTATCACTGTTTCATTAATGTTTTTTCTGTCTATTTAAAATTGAAGTATAGTTGATTTATAGTATTGTATTAGTTTCAGATGTACAACATAGTGATTTAATATTTTTATAGCTCATAATCCATTTAAAGTTATTACAAAACAATGGCTATATTTCCCTGTACTATACAGTGTATCCTTGTTGCTTATCTATTTTATACATAGTGGTTTGTATCTCTGAATGTTATTTTTGTTTGGATGGCCTTGTGTAAGGTGACCTTGTCGTTCAACCCTGCCTTAGGTCTGGGTTGTCTCTCAAACCTTTGTTGTTGTCCAAGCAGCCTATTTTAGTTGTAATAATTCTCAGTTATTGAGGGTGTTCCTAGACCAGTGTCTTAGAGGGGAGATCTCATTCCTAGATTCAGGCTGACTTGAAGTGAGACCCTCCGCTAATAGCTTTTAAAGGATGCAAATATGTACAGCCCCATGTGACTGCAAGTGTAAGCCCTGCTGGCCCCCAGAACTGGGCAAACTAGAGGTGTCCTGGGCAGCAGTCAAAAAACTGGGGCTCTAGACGAGTGTATGGGCTCCTTTCTGTGAGATACTGTTGCTGACCAGGGTCCTTGGACTCTTTAATGAATAGAAATTGATGAGGTCAGACAAGAAATTGAGGCAAGGCTTTATTGGGACTCATGCTGCAGCATGAGGGAGTAGAAACAAGTCCATGTGGTCTAATGTAGTGGTGGTCTAATGAGTAATCTAAGTCAGTGTTTCCGTATTGATTTTCTGTCTGGATCATCTGTCCATTTATATGAGTGGGATGTTAAAGTCCCCTACTGTTATTGTGTTACTGCCAATTTCTCTCTTTATGTTTATTAATATTTGCTTTATGTATTTAGGTGCTCCTATGTTGGGTGCATATATATTTACAATTGTTTTACCTTCTTGGATTGATCCCTTTATCATTATTTAATGCCCTTCTTTGTTTCTTGTTATAATCTCTAAGTCTATTTATTTTTGATATAAGTATTGTTACCCCAGCTTTCTTTTGCTTTCCATTTTACATGGCATACCTTTTTACATCCCCTCATTTTCAGTCTGTTGTATGTCTTAGATCTGAAGTGAGTCTCTTGTAGCCATATATATAGTTTTTGTATCCATTCAGTCAGTCTGTGTCTTTTGATTGGGGCATTTATTCTGTTTACATTTAGTGTGATTATTGATTAGTATGTTCTTATTGCCATTTTGTTAATTGTTTTGGATTTGTAGGTCTTTTTCCCCTTTCTTCTTTTGTTCTTTTGTGATTTGATGACAATCTTTAGTGTCATGTTTGGATTCTTTTCTCTTTGTGTGTGTGTCTATAATAGGTTTTTGGTTTGAGGTTACCATGAGATTTATATATAGGAATCTCTCAATATATATATGATTATTTCCAATTTCTGATTTCTTAATTTCAAACGAATTTTAACAACCCTGTGTTTTTACTTCCTTTCCCCCATGATTACTGTTTATGACATCATCTTTTACATCTGTTTGTTTTGTGTATCCCTTAAATGCTTATTGTGAATATAGATAATTTTACTACTTTTGTCTTTTAACCTTCCTACTAACTTTGTGTGTGGTTGATTTACTACCTTTACTGTATATTTGCCTTTATCAATGAGCTTTTTCCTTTTGTACTTTTTATGTTTCTAGTTGTTGTCTTTCCTTTTTCACATGGAGAAGTTCCCTTAACATTTCTCATAATGCTAGTTCGGTGATGCTGAACTCTTTGCTTTTACTTGGTTGTAAAACTTTTGCTCTCTCCATCAAATCTGAAAGAAAGCCTTGTGGGGTAGAGCATTTCTTGTTGTAGGTTTTCCCTTTCATCATTTAAAATATACCATGCCACTCCCATCTGGCCTATAGAGTTTCTGCTGAAAAGTTAGCTGATAGACTTACAGGAATTGCCTTGTACCTAACTTGTTGCTTCTCCCTTGCTTTTAATATTCTCTCTTCATCTTATATTTTCTCATTTTAATTACAGTGTGTCTTGGTATGGTCCTCTTTGGGATGATTGTGTTTGGGACTCTCTGTGCTTCCTGGACCTTGATGTGCATTTCCCTTCCCAGGCTAGGGAAGTTTTCAGCTATTATGCCTTCAATTATGTCCTTTGCCCCTTTTTCTCCCTTCTCCTTCAGGAATGCCTCTAATGCCAATGTTAATAGACTTGATGTTGTCTCAGAGGTCTTTTAAACTGTCTTGATTTCTTTTTTATTCTTTTTTCTTTTCATTATTCCTTTTCCAGCTCACTGTTCCATTTCTCTGTATCATTTAATCTCCTATTGATTCCTTGTAGTGTATTTTTCATTTTAGGTATTGTATTTTTCAGCTCTATTTGGTTCTTCTTTTTATCTTCTAACTTTGTTAAGCTTCTCACTGTGTTCATTCTTCTCCCAAGTTGTTTGATTATTTTCATGATTATTACCTTGAACTTTTTGTTGGGTAGATTGCCTATTTCCATTTAACTTAGTTCTTCCTCTGGGACTTTATCTTGTTCCTTCGTTTGGAACATGATCCTCTGTTGCCTCATGTTGCCTAGTTTTCTGTTTTTCTTTCTGTGTATCTTGGAGAAGGAGCCTTTTGTAGGAGACATCCTATGCGTCCCAGCAGCACACTCCCCTCTGGTCACCAGAGCTGTCTGTTCTAGGAGTGACCCCTATGTGGGCAGGCTGACTACCATGAGTAGTCTCCTAGGTGTGGCTGGGCCCTGGTCTGGTTGGTTGCCAGGCCTTGCCATGTGTGGAGGCTCTCAGCCATTGGTTGACAGGGCTGTGTCATGAGGTAGCTGGCTGTGGAACCCTGGGGGCTTTTAGGGCTAGTCCTGGCCCACTGGTGGGCAGAGCTGTGTTCTGGGTTGGGTGTTTGCTGGGCTGGTATTCCCAGATCTAGTGTCAGCCTGCTGCCATGTGGGGCTGGTTCCTGACAGGGCTGGCTGAGGGGTCCAAAGTGTCTCATAACTGGTGTTGGCCTGTTGGTGGATGGCACCAGGTCTTGGGGTCCTGGAGCTGGTGTCAGTGTGCTGATAGGCAGGGCTGGGGCCCAAGGTGTCCTAGGGCTAGTGCTGGCTCACTGGTGGGCAGAGATGAATCCTGGGTAAGTCCTGGGTCTCTGGCTGTAGGTCCCTGGGAGTCCCAAAGCTGGTGTTTACTCACTGGTAGGTTGGGCTAGATCCCAGAGCCACTGGCTACGGAGCCCATGGTGTCCCAGTGCTGATGTTGGCCTGCTGGTGAGTAGGTCCAGGACCCAGGGGTTGCAGCACAGGTGCTGGCCTCCTGGTGGGCAGCTGAATCCTGATAAGGTAGGCTGCAGGGTTGTGATGATCCTGGGCTGGCATTTGCCCACTGGTGGTGTGGGTCAGGGCTCAAGGGGTCCCAGGGCTGGTGCCCACCCACCAGTATGTGAATCCACATCCTGGGCCTAGTTCTGACCCACTGGTAGGCCACTGGTAGGTCCTGGTGTCTCTGGCTGTTGGACCTAGGGGTACCGGAAGTGGTGTCAGACTGCTGATGGGCAGGGCTGGTTCATGACATAGCTAGCTGTAAGGTCTGGGGTGTCCTGAAGCTTGTTTCAGTCTGGTGGTGGGTGGGGCCAGTGTCTGGGCAGCTGGCTGATGGGCCTGAGGTGGCTAATACCTGGTGTTCGTCTGCTAGTGGGTGGGGCTAGGGCCCAGGGGGTCCCAGGGCTGGTGTCTGCCTGCTGGTGGATAGGGCTATGTCCCAGGGTGGCTGTGGGCTCAGGGCATCTTAAGGCAGCTAGTGGGTATGTCCCTGCCTGGCTAGTTACTTGGCCTGAGAACCTTGGTTCCGGTTCTGACAGTCTGGTGGCCAGGGCTGGGTCCCAGTGCTAATAAGCTAGAGGGAGTATTCCAAAGTGACATTTGTTCTACCAGTGTCCATGTGGTAGAAAGAGCTCCCTAAAATGGCTGACACCATTTGATGTGTCCCCCATGGTGAGCTCCAGTTGCCTCCTGACTTTCTGGTAGGCTCTCTAAGATCAGCAGGTGGGTCTGACTCAGGCTCCTTTCAAATTATTGCTTCTACCATGACTCCTGGACCACGTGAGATGGTGTTTGTGCCCTTTAAGAGTAGAGTCTCTATTTCCCATAGCCTTGTGACTTTCCCGAAAGTAAGCCCCATTGACCATCAAAGCCAGATATTCTGGGGGCTTGTCTTCTTGGTGTAGGACTCCTGGGCTGGGAAGCCCAGTGTGGGGCTTGGACCTCCTGTTTCTCAGGGATAACCTCTGCCATTGTAATTATCCTCCCATTGTGGGTTACTCACTTGGGGCTATGGATCTTGACTGTACTGTGATTCCACCCCTCTGACCTGTCTTGTTGTGGTTCCTTCTTTGTATCTTTAGTAGAAGATCTTTTCTGCTAATCATCCAGTTTTTCTCATCAATGGTTGCTCTGTAAATAGTTGTCATTTTAGTGTGCCCATTAGAGGAGGTGAGCTCAGGGTGTTCCTACTCTGCCATCTTGGCCAAGCTGAGCCTCTGTGTGCCTTTTAAAACCCAGGAGATATATTATCCTTAGCCTGTTATCTAGCATCAATTTCACATTTGTATTACTATTACTGAATAATTATAATTGCTTATTTACTATTCTTATAGATTATGAAAATGATTCTTTAGTTACAAATAAATGTTGTTCATATAATCTAATAGCAGATGTTTCGTAATTCTAAAGCTCAGAGAAGGAAAGAGCTAGCCCTGCTATTTCAGATCTTTCACAGATCCTCAAGTCTCAAGATGGATCACCTTTTTTAAACACTTCAAATGAAATTTTAACTGATGAAGATCTGTCCCATCTACTTTCATCAAAGACCCATGATAAATCACTTACAAGAATATTATTGAGCAAAGAAATTCAAGATTCACAGTCTGTTGGAACATTGCTTCAAGGGAATGAAACAGTGACAGCATCATTCGTTTCACCCCCTTTTGTTAAAATGAAGACTCTGGCTACTGACATCTCAAAGGTAAGATACAATACAATAACTTGAAAGCTACTTATTTTAATTGCTATACTCCTTCAATATTTTGAATAAATGTTAATTAAAAACATCAATATTTTCTTATTTAAGTGGAATAAAAAGTTTGTCTTTTGATACAATCTGTTTTATATTTAGGATTTTTTTTTTTTTTTTTTGAGGTACGCGGGCCTCTCACTGTTGTGGCCTCTCCCGTTGCGGAGCACAGGCTCCGGACGCACAGGCTCAGCAGCCATGGCCCACGGGCCCAGCCGCTCCGCGGCATGTGGGATCTTCCCGGACCGGGGCATGAACCCGTGTCCCCTGCATCGGCAGGCGGACTCTCAACCACTGCGCCATCAGGGAAGCCCTAGAAAATTCTTATTTTAAAATTTGGGGAAAAAGGGAAATGATCAAATTGCTGTACATATTTAACATATATTCACAATTTTTTTATCATGTAAGTTATTAAAGTGGCCTTATAAAAATAATTTTTAAAGCCATTTGAGTTTCTCTAGAGATTGAATCAGGTGAAAATATAAATCTAAACTAGAATCATAATAAAAAATTATTAACATGATGTATTTGGAATTATTTATGAGGAAGAATCACAATATTGCTTGGTGGGTCCCTCCACACCATTAAGTGTTCCCAAATGTCTCTCAGATCCATTAATTGTTCTCAGTTTTAAATTTGATACATTCAGGAAATAATGAAAAGTAAAATGTTGCTGTAATGACATTGTAGATATAAAAGAAGGTAATTAGAGTTCTAAGATGTATAATTTTTAATTACTTATTTTAACTTTTGTAATTAAGGCTGATATTTTAGAAGAGAATTTACGAAGTAAGATTAAAAAGCAAACTTACGAAGAAGCAAGAGAATTTCAAGGTAAAAAGATTTTCTGTTTTGTAAGATAAAAATGTTAATGATTGTGTGTTCCCGTATTATAAGTAAATGAAGTGAGAACATTACTAAATGTAGAAATAACTTCTTAGACAGTCATGAGATAATATACAAATATATTGACCAATACGTAAAAGTTAATTTGGTGAGTTAACATATTACTCAGTCTGTCTTAACTAAAATTTTTGTAAAGGGAAGTGATAGCTTTGTCTCAACCAAATAACAGTATATGGCATTATGAATTCTTCACATAATATTATACCAAAAATTCATCAGGGTATAAGCAGGAAAACAGATGATTTGTGTTATAAATAAGTAATATTTTAGCTAAGTTTTTTGGGTGTTTGATGTATAATATATATTTTTAAATGTAAGTTTATTCTTCTTTTCCAACATGTATAGCTTTTATAACCAACCCATGTCTTATTGCATTGGCCAGAACTTCCAAAATCAAATTAAATGGTTGTGATGTAGAGTGCAGGAGTATCACTCTTCTTTTGTGCTTTGAACTGAGAGTGCCTCTACACTTTCACCTGTGGTGATTGGTTATCTGAGATAAGTGTCTTATAGTTTTCAGTGTGCAGATATTTGACCTCCTTGGTTAAATTTATTCATAGGTACTTTATTCTTTTTTATGGCTTTTTATTGAAATATAATTGGTTAATATATAACATTAATTTCAAATATACAACATAATGATTTTTTAATTTAAATTTTTTTATTGAATTATAGTTGATTTACAATGTTATGTTAGTTTCTGGTGTACAGCAAAGTGATTCAGATATATATATATATATGTGTGTGTGTATGTGTATACACACATACACACATATATTCTTTTCTTTTTTAATCTATTTTATTTATTTATTTTTGACTGTGTTGGGTCTTCATTGCTGTGCACAGGCTTTCTCTAGTTGCGGTGAGTGGGGGCTGCTCTTCATTGTGGTGCACGGGCTTCTCATTGCAGTGTGCAGGTTTCTCATCATGGTGGCTTCTCTTGTTGTGGAGCACAGGCTCTTGACGTGTGGGCTTCAGTAGTTGCAGCACGTGAGCTCAGTAGTTGCGGCTCACAGGCTCTAGAGCACAGTTCAGTAGTTGTGGCACATGGGCTTAGTTGCTTCGCAGCATGTGGCATCTTCCCAGACCAGGGCTCGAACCCATGTCCCCGCATTGGCAGGCGGATTCTCAACCACTGCGCCACCAGGGAAGCCCCACACATATATCCTTTTTCAGATTCTTTTCCATTATAGGTTATTATAAGATATTGAACATAGTTCCTTGTGCTATACAGTTAGCCCTTGTTTTTGGCAGTACACGGGCCTCTCACTGTTGTGGCCTCTCACGTTGCGGAGCACAGGCTCCGGATGCGCAGGCTCAGCAGCCATGGCTTACGGGCCTAGCCGCTCCGCGGCATGTGGGATCTTCCCGGACCGGGGCATGAACCCATGTCCCCTGCATCGGCAGGCAGACTGTCAACCACTGTGCCACCAAGGAAGCCCAGTTAGCCCTTTTTTATCTATTTTATATATAGTAATGTGTATCTACTAATCCCAAATTCCAAATTTATCTCTCCCTGCCTTTTCTCTTTGTTAACCATAAGTTTGTTTTCCATGTCTGTGAGTCTGTTTCTGTTTTGTAAATAAGTTCATTTGTATCATTTTAAAAGATTACACAAATAAGTAAGATCATATGATATTTGTCTTTCTCTGTCTGACTTACTTCACTTAGTATGATAATCTGTAGGTCCATCCATGTTGCTACAAATGGCATTATTTCATTCTTTTTTTATGACTAATATTCCATTGTGTGTGTGTGTGTGTGTGCGCGCATACATATATACACACCACCTCTTTATCCATTCTGTCGATGGACATTTAGGTTGCTTCCATGTCTTGGCTGTTGTAAATAGTGCTGGTGTGAACATTGGGGTCCATGTATCTTTTTGAATTAGAGTTTTTGTCCTTTCCAGATATATGCCCAGGAGTGTGATTGCTAGATCATATGGTAACTCTATTTTTAGTTTTTGAAGGGTCCTCCAGACTGTTCTCCATAGTGGCTTTACCAGTTTACATTCCCACCAACAGTGTAGGAGGGTTCCCTTTTCTCCACACCCTCTCCAGCATTTATTATTTGTAGACTTTTTGATGATGGCCACTTTGACTGATGTGATGTGATACCTCATTGTAGTTTTGATTTGCATTTCTCTAGTAATTAACAGTGTTGAATATCTTTTTCTGTGTGTGGTGGCCATCTGTATAACCTCTTTGAAGAAATGTCTATTTAGGTCTTCTGCCCTTTTTTGATTAGCTTGTTTGGTTTTTTGATATTAAGCTATATGAGCTGTTTATATATTTTGGAAATTAATCCTGTGTTGCTTGCATCGTTTGCAAATATTTTCTCCCATCCTGTAGCTTGTGTATTCATTTGGTTTATGGTTTCTTTTACTATGCAGAGACTTTCAAATTTAATTAGGTCCCATTTGTTTATTTTTGCTTTTATTTCCATTACTGTAGAAGACAGATCCAGAAAAATATTGATGCAATTTATGTCAGAGAGTGTTCTGCCCATATTTTCCTCTAGGAGTTTTATAAATAGTATCCAGTCTTACATTTAGGTCTTTAACAACATAATGATTTGATATTTGTGTATATTGTGAAATGATCACCACAATATGTCTAGTTAACATCCATCACCATGCATAGTTACAAAACATTTTTTCTTGTGGTGAGGACTTTAAAAATCTACTCTCTTAGCAAACTTTCAGATATTGAATACAGTATTTTAATTATAGTCATCATGCTGTACATTATGTTGTGGTTTTGATTTGCATTTCTCTAATGATTAGTGATGTTGAGACTCTTTTCATGTACCTTTTGGCCATCTGTATATCTTTTTAGGAAAAATATCTATTCAGATCCTCTGCCCATTTTTTAATCAGATTAGTTTTTGTTGTTTTGCTATTGAGTTGTATGAGTTTTTCACATATATTACATATTAACCCCTTATCAGATACATGATTTGCAAATATTTTCTCTCATTTGATAGGTTGCCCTTTTGTTTTGTTGTTGGATTTTTGCTTTGCCAGAGCATTCCAGTTTGATGTAGTCCTACTTGTTTATATTTGCTTTTTTTGCCTTTGATATTATTGTCAAACCGCAAAAATCATTTCCATGACCAATGTCAAGGAGCTTACTGCCTATGTTTTCTTCTAGGAGTTTTATCATTTTAGGTCTTACATCAAGTTTTGAGTTAATTGTGTATGGTGTAAGATGGTAGTCAATTTCATTCTTTTGCACATGGCTTTCCAGTTTTCCCAGCATCATTTATTGAAGAGACTGTCCTTTTCCCATTGTATATTCTTGGTTCCTTTGTCATAAATTAATTGACCATATATGTGTGGGTTTGTTCTACTTTCCCTTTTGGCTTGTTTTTGATTCACTGGTTGTTTAAAAGTGTGTATTTAGATTCCACATCTTTGTGAATTCTCCAATTTTTTTGCTATTAATTTCTGTCTTTTTAATATTTATTTATTTATTTGGCTGCCCTGTGTCTTAGTTGTGGCATGCAAGATCTTTGTTGCTGTGTGTGAGATCTTCGTTGTGGCATGTGGGATCTTTTTAGTTGCGGCATGCAGGATCTTTTAGTTGCGGTACACAGGATGTTCGTTGTGGCATGTGGGATTTTCGTCATGGCATGCGGGCTCTTAGTTGCAGCCTGTGAGATCCAGTTCCCTGACCAGGGATTGAACCCAGGCCCCCTGCATTGGGAGCACTGAATCTTAATCACTGGACCACCAGGGACCTCCCTTTGCTATTAATTTGTGGTGTCATTCCACTGTGGTAGGAAAATATACTTGAAGATTTCAGTCTTCTTAGATTTGTTAAGACTTGTTTTTGACCTAACATGTAATCTATCCTAGAGATGGTTCTGTGTGTACTTAAGAATAATGTGTATTCTGCTGCTGGGTGAAATGTATGTACGTTTGTTGGACTAATAGTGGTGTTGAAATCCTCAACAACTTTATAGAGTTGTTTTCCAGAGACTTTTTTTGTTCCTTTTTTGGGGTCATATTTCCCTGTTTCTTGTTGTTCCTCGACACCTGTGTTGCTATCCACATATTTGAAAAAACTATTTCCTCTCCTTCTCTTTACAGACTGGCTTTCTATTGTTTATTTTCTTGACCGATTTTCTTTAATTTATTTATTTGTTATTCAGGTATGATTAACATATAAGACTTCTGTTTCCTTTATTTTCACCCTCTTACACCCCGCAGCTTTATTGAGATATAATTGACATGTAACATTTTGTAAGTTTAAGGAATAAAACATGGTAATCATACACACATATATTGCAAAATAATTGCCACAATAAGGTTAGTTAACACATCAATCATCTGAAATATTTTTTGTGGTAAGAACATTTAAGATCTACTCTTTTAATAACTTTCAAGTATGTAATACACTGTCATTAACTATAGTCACCAGGCTGTACATTAGCTCCTCAGAACTTATTTATCTTATACCTGGAAATGTGTACTCTTTGGCCAATATCTTCCCATTTCCCCCACTTACAAGCCCATGGTAACCACCATTTTACTCTTGGTTTCTGTGAGTTTGGTTTCTATGATGTTAATATGGGCTTGTCATATAGCTTTTATTATGTTGAGGGATGTTTCTTCTATGCTCAATTTGTTGAGAACTTTTCTTGTAGTATTCTTATCTGGCTTTGGTATCAGGGTAATGCTGACCTCATAAAATGAATTAGGGAGTGTTTTCTCATCTTCAGTTTTTGGAAAACTTTTTGAAGGGTTGGTATTAATTCTTCTCTAAATGTTTCATAGAATTCACCAGTAAACCATCTAACCCTGGGTTTTTCTTTGATGGGAGGTTTTTATTACTGATTCAGTCTCCTTAGTATTAATTGGTTTGTTCAGATTTTCTGTTTCTCCATGATTCAGTGTTGATAGACTGTATGTTTCTTGTAAT